TTACTGAATTATCAGGCTGCAGCCTGCCCAGCTGATGTAGACCTCACCAGCCACCACAATCATGTGAGCCAACTTAGTAGAACACTTGTCTCTCTATATATGTGTGTTTCTTTCCGTATATACATATCTATTTTATCTAGCCAAACTTGCACTGCTATAATGGTGTTTGGTTATTATATACTGCATGTATAGTGGTGGTCTCAGAAGGTTACAATGGAGTAAATTTGTTTTGTCATACCATTCTATGTTTGAAGTACAACACATTACTCATGTGTATGGTGATAATGGAGCAAGCAGTGCTACTGTGAAGCCAATCATGTATAAGTATCACAAAATTATATGCAGTAGATAATATTTTAGAATGATAATAAATATCTACGATGTTGTCTCTGTATTTATTACACTATAATTCTCATTGTTAATCAGAGTGTACTCCATCTAATTATAAAAATGTTTAGTGTAAAGCTGTTTGCTGTGCTATCCTTACAACAGCCTCATACCTCTCGTGTGTACCCAGTCTCTTAGACGGCCAGACTAATGCACTGTTCCTGCCCCAAGATGGCGGCTATTGTCTCTTGATTTCATTGTCTCTTGTGCTAGATTCAAATCTCATGTTTTTTATTCATGGCCCAAGAAGCTATAGGCTTCATATACATTATACACATAATATTAGCACATAATATATATGTATGTATGCTATATACATTTACACACACTCCTATGGCCTTGGTGTTTAGCAGTCTTTACCACCTACATTTGTGTTAAGTGGACTGCCTCATTTTCATGAAATGATGAAATTGTCTACCAATGTATCTCTGAAGACATACCACTATTGCTAAGTAATACAGGATTGCAGGTTATATATATATATACTAATGTTTTGTAAAAAACTGCATCTGTACTAAACATGTGCATATTTAATTTCTGTCTTTATCAATTCCTGCAAATAATAAAGAAATATTACACACAAAAAATATATCTATATTATCTATAAATCTACCTACCCATTTTATTTTATGTCTGCTTTCTGTAATCTGTCAATCTATCTATATCTACATGTCTACATGTGTCTTATTCTGTCTCCAATTAATTCTATTTCCTTGGAGAATGCTAGTAAAGTTTATCATCTATAGCTCTTTGGTGTTTTATTTTTATCACACTATAAGGTTAAATATATGTATATATATATATATACACACACACACAATGGACACTATTAAGTGATATTATATACTTCATTGAAAAATATGAACTTCATAACATGTTCTTTATACTTTCAGCTTTTGTGATACATGTTATGTAATTTCCATGTAATACAATCTAAACCAAAATATAGTTTCCTTCAAATAGTCAATGATCTCCTACAGAGGATGACAAAATTCAGAATTATTTATTTTTATCCATGTTGTCAGCATATCTGATGCTTCCCACATATTTTGTGAATGAACTTTTCTACATTATGTCATTTCCTTCTATGAGGGGTCTTTTACTTTTACTGGAGGTGAGGGTCTGCAGGTGAGTTTATTATCATTATTTTTTTTAACTGAAAATTAGTCAGATGTTGCTTTGCAACAGAGCCAGAACCCTAGTATTCTCGTTTTTTATTTTAAGACACGGGTTCACTAATTTGCCTTCCCCAAGGCCCCAGGTCCATCCTAAAAACTGTTAATGAAGTAGCTTCCTGCAAACAGGGAGGTGCTAATCAAACCACCCAGGCCCCTTCCCACCAGATTACTCCTCCATGCCTCGTTGCCCCACCTGTCTCTCCTTTTTCCCTTCCCACCTGCATACTATCACTGTAGGATAGAGGGAACAAAGGACAGGAATGTGGCAGAATAAAAGAAGACTTAGATATAAAAAAAGGAAAGACTTCCCCTTTCCAAGAATTCTGCCTTTTGGGTCAGGTCCCCTTCTTCCTGGGGGAGGGGGGCATCTTTTCTGCTCTCCTTTAATAAAGCTTTCCACTTTCCACTCTACACTTTCCTCCCTGTGTTTCTCTGGTGTTATACTTCAGCATTCAGGGAAGCAAGGACACCAGTAATCAGCAGTAAGGACATCATATGTGCTAGCACTGTTTTCTTCAAGTTTCCTAGGACTGATTTTTCTGAATTTCTTGAGCATGTTGGATTCTAGTTTTCTCCACTTGTAGAACATTTTTGGCCATTGATTTCTGTCACAAATGGGCAAAATTGAAACATATATAGTTGAGGGGAGAAATAAAGAATGTCCACAGGCTTCTGCCCTTTTCATGCTTTATTCACTCAAAATACTCAATACAATTTCACTCTATAGGTTCTTAATGAAGAAAATGACAATCCTTAATGCTAGTAGTGCAATAGACATAATCAATTCACAGCAAACAATTTTAGGTTAATTAATTCACAGCAAATAATTCTAGGCTAATTCTAAGCACTGCAAAACACACTTAATCATGACAGGCTAGTGACAGACATTCCCTCTGTGTGCTAAGTTCAAATGTCAGATCAAAAGTCTTAAGCCTTAGGCTTTATGTCCAGCAGATGCACACTCACTCAGACAGAAGTAATCAGGTCTGGAACCAAGACAGGGTTTTTGTAGCATGGAGTGGATGACTGTTAAACCACAATGCAAAGAAAAGACCACTGACTCCAATTAAAATCAAATTAACTCTACAAATTAAAGCAAGCTTATAATTTTGACTGGCCAGGCTGTCTCTCCCGAAAACTGTGGGAACAGAAGACAGCCCCACAGTTCTCTAGGAGCACAGCTTTATAGCACAGAAAGTTACAAAAAAGGGGGGTGTCTTGAGAACTTACAGATAACAAAATTTTGACAAGTATAACACAAAGGCTAGTTAATGGTCTACTGTCAGCACTTAGAGAATAAATTAGATTTCTACATAAGGAATTTAAGAAGCACCATTAGAGTTTCAGAAAGGGTTATTATCTGGCCAGGGAAAGCCAGAATTTATGAGTGCTGCTAAAGTTTCAGAGAGGGTTGCTATCTGGTAAGGGGAAGCCAGGCAAGGGTGAGTCTAAAACACGAGCAGGCATTCCAAGCAAGTTTAGAAATCACAGTAATTTGTAGTAAGGCTGCAATTAAGTTTTTATGCCTCTGGCGAGATGGCTTCCAATCTTCAGAGGGAATTAGGCTGGTTTATCACAACCAGTTGAGGGGAGGGTCAAAGAGAGAAGTTGTGGCTCTCACCAAGGTCCAGAGGAGGCAGTAGAGTTTGAGAGCAGTGAGGATCATGCAGATAATCCGTAATGATGACAAGTGATGGGATGTCATGTCCTCATCAGGCTCCCCAACTCAAGTGCATCCTTGTTCTGGCTGGCTGAATCCCTGTTCATTTGCTCTATTATTTATACTACATTTTGGGGCTTTGGCCCTTCCCCCTTTCAATCCTTATCAGCTACCACTGAATTTCTCAGTGACATCATTTAGCTAGTCTGGTGGTCCCCACCCTGATCTTCTCCCGTTACCCTCTTATCAGGTAAGCACAGCCTGCCAGAGGCTTTACTCTGTTTATCAGGGTGAGGAGAGGTAATTTGTTTGAATCCATACTGGAGGGCTCTGTGAGTGTACTTGGTGAGACTGCAGGTTTCAAACTGGAGTTTTTTTAATGGAGTTGCTTAGGCTTAGGCCTATGGCCATCCTCAATGTCTGGCACCACTGAGTCCCCTAAGTAGAAGGAAGAGGCCCCTACCTACCCTGCTCACTGCGGCTCATAGCTTGTCCAGAAGGAGCCCATAACTAGCACCACACCAGGAAGGTACTGAGGTACACTCTGGATTATAGGCTACACTGGCCCTGCAGAGGGCCTGTCCTTTAAGGATGTGACAGTGAGAAGGAGAAAGAGTGTGTCTGTGAGGAATACTAAGCAAAGGAACCTCAAATATCAGATTCTTCATAGAAAAGCTCCTTGCTTTTTAAATTAGGGTGTATCTATTCTTGTGAAATCTAGACTTTTTTTGGCAGGCATACATGGATTAAAGGAATGAAGGAATAGTCATTTTTTGATGTAAAAATTAGTGTTGTGTTTTTTGGTACACTCAATTATCAAGTTCACATGACTTATGAGTAGGTTCAATACCCATGGATGATGGAGGACCTTTGGTCTTGTAGGAGGTTTGGGTGGAGTGAAGTGTGGCCAGCAGGAGGCATCCAAGATGCCTCAGGTTCCATTAGAAGCTGCAATGAATTTGGGATTCCTGGAGGTTTTATTGGGCAGATTCTGAAGCCAGTGAGTGGGTCTCAGGGAGAACTCAGATCAGACCCCTGGCACCTATTTAGTTGTAGAGAAGGATGACCTCCCCAGGGGTTTTTGCTATGGTGCCCTAATGGCTTCTCTCAAGCTGATGGGGACAGAAGCTTCTGGCTATGTCCCTGGGTCTGGCCTAGGCAGGACCTGACACTGAATAGAAGGGGGACTCTGGGGTTGCACAAGGGAAGCCTTGGAGCAGGGGACAGAGGGAGAGGAGATGGTGGATTAAAGGCAGGCATGATGGGCAGGGGTGCTGCAGCAGGACAGAGGATCCTAAAGACACTGCTGGGAAGGAACTAGAGGAGGGATGGACAGGTATTCCTCTCTGCTAGACCTCAGAGTAGTGCAGGTAGTCAAGAACATTTCCTCTAGCTGGAACCCTCCCAAGTACACCACTGGGGAACTCTCGCATGTTCATTTCTATCCCAGTGGTGACGAGTTCTACAGAACAGGGATGGTGGCCCCACCCCTTTTTTCTTTTTTCCTTGGGGCCTTTTTTGCTTTTTTTTTTTTGAGATTTTCCCTTGTTTTCTTTTTTGTTGTTCCTTTTCTTCTTGCGGGGAAGTTTTGTTGGGGTTGGGGCTTGAGTTCCCCGTTGTCCTTTTCCTTTTTGGTTCCGGGCCCTTTTTGTTCGGGGGATTGGGGATTTAACTTCCATTTCTTTGTTTTGGGCCTTTCTGAAAACTTGTTTTTTCGGTTTAAAAACTTGGTTTCCTTGATTAGTTGTTTTTTGCTTGTAAAAACAGTTCTCTTGTCAAATAGAGGTTTACTAATCAACACCCACAGCAAAATCCCCCAAGCCTAGTGCATACCAACCCTCCCCAGTACAACACTGGTTACATGAATACTCATCAAAATTCTTCTTGACAAATCTGCCTTAAAATTCGCCAGGACACATTTTTCAACACTATAACCATGCCCTGTTCTTCCCCTAATTAACCATAAATAAGACCCTGCCACGGTGAAATTCTACTTAATACTAACATGCATGGCTGATGACTTGCTGTGGCTTTTGGGCCTGGCGGATCAAGTTGATAAGAATGAGTTGATCAAGTTCCCATGGAATCAACTGATCCTGGGGAGGTACAGGAGCCTTCCCCTAATCTCTTAGGACTATCTAGACAGAGATGGGAGGAGACTTCCTACACAGCATGTGGCATGCTCTCTGCTGTCAGGCTAATCAGAGCAAGCAGGAAGGGCCTTTGGTGCCAGGCTGGTGGCAGGTTTTTGTCTCACTTCCCTGTCTGCCTGTGTCACTGTGAGCAGCATTACCATCCCACACCTGACAGTAATAGTCAGCCTCGTCTCCAGACTGGGCCCCACTGACGGTCAGGGTGGCTGTGTTCCCAGATTTGGAGCCAGAGAATCTGTCAGGGATCCCTGAGGGCCGGTTACTAGTACCATAGATGACAAGCAGCGGGGACTGTGCTGGCTTCTGCTGGTACCACTGCACATATTTACTACCAATGTTGTTTCCTCCACAGGTGATTCTGGCCGTCTGTCCTGGGGTCACCGATACTGATGATGGCTGAGTCAGCACATAAGAGGCTACAGAACCTATAAGAAAATAAAAGAAGAGAGGGGACTAATGGGGACAGACACTTCCCATGAGATGCCCAGTTTTCCCCTAGCCTGAAAGAACTTCAGGAAATATGTGGAACAAAGTGAATCCTCTGGCATCAAAATCAGTCATAGTGGCCCATGAGCCTGACTGAGGAATGGAGATTTGAATCCATGGGCAAGCCCAACCCCTTTCCTCCAAGCCAGAGAGCACAGTGTTGGAATTTCAGCCTAAAGTCTCATCCTGAAGCAGGTCCTGAGCGTCCTGCCCACTACAGACAGAGCTCTGCTGAGCTCAGAATTAGGCCAGATTAGTTATACAGGAGCCTTGGGCTGGCAGGTATATTAGGGCCTGGGGGCAGCACCTGTGTAATGAGCCAGGAGGCTTATGAGAAGGGCCTTCCAAGTCATGGTGCCTGTGGCTGCTTCCTGAGTCCTAGGCTGGTCTGTGTTCCCTCAAGGCCTCTTTATTCCCTTGTTGGGGACAGCTGCCTGTTATGCAAATCAGCCTAGGTCAGGGCTGCTACTGGAGGAAGCTGTGTGGTGTCCAGAGAAGGGCTCATCCCCAGGGAGCCAAAGAGTGGGAGGGGCATCCCTGAAGAACTACCCTCAGCTCACAGAATGCTCCTTTACTTTCTAGTCCCAACTTATTGGCCATGTCTCCATCCCAGGCTATTTTCTAGCCTGGAATCTGGGCTGACCTTGTTATATAAAGATGAGTCTGTCTTTGTCATCAGAACAAACTACAAACTATAAGGTTGACAATAAGAGGTTTCTGCAGCTATGGGATTCTGCCCAGATACAGCCCCTAAAGTTATGTGGGTCAGTCAAATTCTTCCATAAATGTACCTAGTATCTTAAAGGTCCAGTGGGGTAGAATATCTCTCTGTCCTTGGTGTGAAGGCCTCAGGCAGATCTTGGGTTCTCAGGCTCACATGTCCTAATGACTGTAGGCGGGTTCTCTACCTACCCAACAATACAGTAGTATAGGTAGAGAATAACAATAACAATACAGTTACAGAGCTTCAGCATGAATGGTGACCTGAGGAATACTAGACCTGTGCCATATCAACAGGGACATTCTACAAAGAGAAGGGATTTCTGGGAGACACAGACATCAATGAACATATACATCAATGTTATTCCCCACACTGGAGAAAAATCCAGCATTTCTTCCAGGTCTCATGTCATGGTAACTAACCCTCCTGCATGTGAAATCTCCCTTCTAGGGTGAGGTCTGGTGTTTGGGGAAGGGAAGGAGGTGTCAGGAAAAGCAGAAAGATTTCCTGTGCAAACATCTAAAATAGGAAAATTCTGGAAGAGCTAGATATGAGAGAAATGAAGACCAAAAAATTTGTACTTCCTTCAAAGATGATATTGTAGAAATATGACACCTTTTCCTCTAGATCTCAGGTTGTGGTTACTACTAACCCTCTTGCACTTTTGAATCCTGAAGCCCAAGCCCAGCCCAAGCCTAGGGAGCTTTGTCAGGTGGTTCTCAACTGCCCCCTAGTGGCCACTCTACACTGGTTGCTGCATGTCATGGCATCCTTGGTCCAGGTGCAGATTCGGAACTTGCCCCTCAGGCCCAGGTTTTCTTGATCTTTGGCCAAGGGAGGAAATTCATCTTCTTCCTATGGATGTTACCGGTTTTAGGATCAGGAAGGAGAGGCTCACATTACACAGGAAAATATGAACAGGTGCATTTGGTAGAGGAAGGTTAAAACCCACCTGAATTATCACTGCATATTTTTTAGGGTGGTGAGTGGTCAAAGGAAGTGGTTCCAGGTCCTGGTGCTGGGTAACACTGGACTCAGGAACTGGCTCTTCTTAGTGTCAGCTGCAGGTGCAGAGTCAATATGAGTGGGTTGTGAGAAGCACAGACACAGACAGGAGCCCCTTCATACCAATGTCTATTCAGACCCACTGTGGTCTCCCCCTACTTCCATGCTGGGAATTCAGCAGGAACATGATGCATCCTTTGCTCTAGGAGTTTCTACCTTCTGGCTTTGCTTTGGATACACCTAGTGTGCAGTTTAATAGTCTGTCCCACTCACCAGAGCCTGTGCTTAGTCTCCTCTCTTTCTTGAAAATCCACACACTTTTTCCAAAATAAACATCCAGCATTGACCATGTAGTACAACACACAACCGTGGCATGGAGCACTCAGTTGGCCAGAGTTTCTTGTCAATGCAAGCCTGCACTTGTGAGGGAGAGAAATATGTTGGTCATTGCATCATTTTTCTCCTTAAATTCAGGTGTGATTGCTGGAGCTGCAAGAGCCATCTAGGGTCTTTAGTCAACAACAAAAATGGAAGGCTAATTTGGTAAGGACGGTGGAAGAGAAGCTGGAAAAGGCCCCAGGTCCCACAATGAAAAAGTGAGTAAGGAAGCCAGAGAACATCATGCCTTAGTTGTTTTGTTTTGTTTTTTCATAAGTATTTATTTCTAAGTGCTTTGCTTTTGCAAGAGAAAAAATTAGCCTCCACGTGCTCATGAGTCTGTTTTAATGCATGCATTCTTGCATTTAAAAACTATCTACAACCCACTAGGAAAACAATTAACAAAAATAAATCAATTAACTAAAACAATGCTGGTAAAAAAAAACCATTCAGCAGTAATGATAGGCAGGTAATTAATACACTGATTAGAGAGAGTGACAGGCAGGCTGGGATATAACCTGAGGCTGGAACTCCCTTGCAGATGTGTCACTGGAGCTGCCCTCAGGACTGGTGAGAAATCACAGCACATGTGCAGGGACAGCAGAATCCATGAAGTGGGGAAGAGTCTGGGTGTGTGATGATGGGAGAAGAAAGTGGCAATGTGAGGAGACGAGGACTGCAACCTGTTTAGTCCAAGATAACAGTATCTCCTAAGGAGAATTTTGATGTCAGGGCAAATTCACAGTCAGAATTGTTGATGGCAAAATTTCCAAGTAATAAACTCAGTTCCATGGCATCTTTGTAGCAGATTATGAATCTCAAGTCCAGGGAGAGATGAGACACAATGGGTTCCTCTAATCACAGCCCTGCTTACATGGGACTTGATATACCCAGAGGGTAGTTGCTGGTTCCTCCATTCTACCCTGTATCTACCATGCAGCCAGGTGGGAACTTAGGCTACAGCCTGTGCCTCCTGAGCTGGGACAGGTGTTGAGTGTCTCCTAGTGTCTGATGAGTGACACAAAAGTGTTTTCCTTGACAAGCCACAGATTCCCTGGCCTGCAAGCATGGAATATTGAAAGTATACTTCATAGGGAGGGCAAAAAGGGGGGCTGAGAAACGGAGTGACAATTCCTATGTCACTCAGGGAGGAAATGAGAAAAACAAAAGCATCTAGACTCCCAATAATTACCTTCCCTGGATATACAAGGGTCATCCTGGGCAAATCCCCCTCATTTTCTCATCCTGGGATTTGTCCAGCTAGATTCTGATCTATTTCAATGAGCATATCTCCTTGGTGTGTGGAAATATCCTCAGTCAAAATATTAGGATACTGAAGCTTCATCCTCTGATTAATCAGCTGCATGTAGGGGCTGATGCTACCCCTCACAGGAGCCTGGACAGATTATTGGAAGTGTGTCCAGCTCCTTGCACCATTCCGAAAGACCAAATATCCAGATTAGAAGCAACTATAGCAGTCATTTCATGGATATTTACCCAAACATTTCCCTGAATTATCATTTAGGCCCTATGTATTAATATACAAAATGTCATCTATTGTCAACTCAGGGTCTATTCAAATTAAAGGTAAATTTAATAATCAGTAGTAGTTTGTGAGTAAATTATTTGTAGTTTGTTTTTTTCCTTTGTGGTCCAGCATTTCTACAAATAAGACATCAGTTCATATGCAAGTCTGGAAGATGTATGTAGACACGTTTTATTTTGCTTTTTTAAAATGTCCATAATGGCTCATCTATGTGATCTGAAAGACCTGGAGTAACCTTTTAAAACCATTTGTCCTAATGAAGAATCCATCCTGGATATAATATTATTAGGTGTTTCCTTTCATATATAGGACAAATCTAAATATGGCTTTGCAAATATCATGGTCATACACTTGTTCTACCTTCTGACAGGGCGTTCACGCTCGCTTGTGCGCTCTCTCTCTCTCTCTCTCTCTCTCTCTCTCTCTCTCCACATACCCAGCCCTATTTTGTATTTTATTTAGAGACAAGGTCTCATTGAGTTGCTTAGCACCTCTCTTTTGCTGAGTCCAGCTTTGAACTTGTGATCCTTCTGCCTCAGCCTCCCTAGCCACTGAGATTATAGGCATGTGCCACCACAACCAGCTAGATTCTGATCTCTTTCAATGACTTGTCTTTGCATAAAAGTTTCATTCCAATCCAGAATTCATCTCTTTAATTACAAACATGTGCCTGTTTTGTGCTGCTCAGTGTTTAATTTTGATCAGAATTGGGAGACTTATGAGCATATCTCCTTGGTTGTGGGAATGAGGGGGATTTGTCCTTGGTCAAATCTAAGAGACATGGGGCACTGCCTAATGGCATGGGCTATTGGGTGATCTTGTAATCAAACACCAACTTCTTTTCTGGGCACATAAGCCCTTCTCATCCTGAGGACTCCATACTGTTAGGCTCATAATTTTTTGTCTTAACCCAATGCCAAGTTCTGAGAGG